ATCAGCCAACTAGAATGGAGAATATAGAACTTCCCTTTCTTTTTCATTACTCTTTGTACATGCTGTTGTTAAAGTGTAATAAAGTGTATCCACAATAAGGAGCAAGTAGGTTACAGTTGGTATGGCTGGAGTCTAGCATTATTGAACCAGTTGTTTCGGAACCATTCCTTTTATTGAAAAAAATCACAATAAACTGTCTTAGAGTTTTTAAATATATATGGTTTTTTTTCCCACAACTGTAATATTAAATACAAATTTATAGCATAGGAACTGTATACTTTTTAATAAAACAATAATTGGTTGGCAAGTTTAAATTCACAAAGCATCTAAATATAACTTTACACTGCTTAGTGTTCACTTCAAATATGCCCAAATTTGCCTCATATAAAGTTTGAACTTGTTTCTTAGAGATGGACATAGATAAACAACCTGGCTGATGTGAAAGAAATTCGTAAGGTAGTAATTGTTTCTGTGCCGTAAAATGGGAAGTGTGATTAAATTAAACTCAAATGGAAACATTGATATATATTAATAAGAAGGTATTCTGTTAAAAACTATGCCCTCATACTATTGTCTTCGGAATTATATTACATGACTATGATCTTAAATGGAAGGTGCATTACAGCAGATGTATTTCTGTTTAAGTTGAATAATTTAGATCTGACTTTCCATGAAAAAAATTAATTTCTAATGTAAAATCTAGTTTGAGGCTGTGTAAAATTATAAATTATTATTTTTTATAGGAAGACTATTTCACCTTTAGACTTAAATGTAAGTTTTACATTGAATTTCATGTGAATTATTTTAGACTTTTTGGTACTTTCTGATTATCTGCAGCCACCACTGAAAAGTCATGAATTTGTTTTAGACTTTTCAGTGCAGCTGTGAATTCGTAGGGGACTAATTTTTTCCCAAACTAATGCGCGAAGGCTAGAACCATTTTTAATAAAAGAGTGACTAATCAATAAAATTTAAAAAGCAAGAAACATCAATAATAAAATGCTTACCATTTACTGGAAAATCCTTCTGTAATTTTTTTGCTCTGTTGTTCACCTTGTCACCTAAAATACAACTTCAAGGGACAATGTACTACTACTAGGCAAAGTGTTATATTTCTGAAAAAGTGCAACACGTTCTTTTTACTTCCTTGTACGAAGTAAAAAGGAAGTACTATTGTAATCGCAAAAAGTTTCAAGCAGCATATTTCAATGAAAATATCCATTTTGACCATTATCGAATGCAATTTAACGATGTTTTTGCATGATATCTGTACGTAAGGACAGAATAAAAGACTCGTTTCCTCCAAAAAAATTATAAAACTGCTTTAAAATTAATTCTGAAGAGAATTTTTCGTGGCGTCTGTACGAACGTACGTATGTACGTATCTCGTATAACTCAAAAACGAGTAACCTCAGAATGTTGAAATTTTGTATATAGGATTGCTATAACATGTAGATGTGCACCTCATATTTTGGTTGCAGTCGGCCGCACCAAACGTATATAAATATATTTATATATATATCCACTCTGTTACCCGGCTCAGTGATCTCAGTTTCTTTACTCTTATATATTTGTAAATTGTACATTTTTTGCTTTAAAAATGATTGAATTATGTTGTTTTTATCTTCCGGTTAAGGTTTTTATGCCTTAAGTAAATCTGTATGCAATATTTTTAGAATTATCAACAATTTTAAAGTTGTTTAAGTGCCGCTAAGCCTTTTTTTTTAAATGGCGGCCATTGATTGTTTACATTTGAAACAGCAGACTAGTTGATTTGTTGCCAATCTAGAGAAACTTAGCTTTGCAACAACAAAGATAACGCCTTCATTTATTATTGCCAATTGTATCATGCTTAATCCTTTCTGGAATTTTTTCGAGGAAATAAGTGTTTAAGATTTACTTCGTAACTTTTAATATAGATATTTTGAGCTTTTATGTATTTTTGCCTTGTCGCGAAGTGAGAACTGAATTAATTGAATGAGAAATACTCAATCGTCTGCGAAAAACTTTTTTTTTTTTTAAATTGTTGTTGTTGTTTTGTTTTGTTTGCTTAATTTCTTTTATACATGATTCTAGCTTTATTATAGTATTTGAATAGAACATGTGGCAATGATTAGATAATTCTATTCTTTAAATGATATAAATTTTGTGCATTATGAGTTATAATATGAACGAAATATAATACTGTTAAAAAATCTCTAGTGCCAGAGTGTCGCTATGGTAAACATATACTAGAGTGAATTTTAAAGAATGCATTTATTCTATTGTGGTTCATGTGCTGTCGGCGAAGTAGATTTAATTCAATCCAATAAGTTTAAATGAAATGCAAGAAAAAATGTGTATAATTTAATATTCCGTATAAGGAAGTCATGGTGTACACATCAGATTTTTTATTAGCAGATAAACTCCACAGTTGCATTGTGATTCATTACAGGGGGGACTACATATTATTCACAAGCAGAAGCCACAAACCCCCTTGGAAGCAGAAGCCCTTGGAATTCCGAAATTGGACGCATTTAGTAGGTTGAGAGTTAAAACACATTTTCATAAAATTCTAGGTTGCCTAGTTCAGCAACATAGTGCTTTGCCTGGTAATTCATGTCACAGTTGGATGGATAGTACCATGAAAGCTTTGATGCTGGACTCAGGATTTCTCAGTATAAAAGCTTAAGAAAATATCAAAATGTAATATTATTATTAAAACCAACATAATGTTTAGAGCGTCTAATTAAGTATTATCTCAATAGAATCATTTTATAAATAGTTCAATTACATGAATTATGCATTATAAAGTGAATTTAAGTTAATTTGAAATTCTTTTAAAATGGCTTTGCTGCACAGTTTAAGGGCTCTCTGATTTTCATATTTTGATGTTGGCAGCAATGCCATGTATATCCTTTGTATACTCATGCCCCAAAGTTATCTTTACATGCATGAAATCACAGATTTCTTAAAAACTTTGACTTCCAATTTTATAAATTTTTGTGGAATGATACATAACGTCACAACACATAAATACAAAGGAAAAAATTAAGAGCTCTGCATGTCATATTAAACTGTTACTGGAAACAATAAAAATGGTAATAATACATTACACAGAGAGTTCAGGGGGGGGGAGTACCTCAGAAAAAAAATAAGGCTTATGAATTTTATATGGAATGTGATTTTCCGTGAGCTGTGCACAATGCTGGCAGTAATGCTGTTAACCACAATTTGGAAAATTTAATTCTTCTGTAACAATGTGGCCTTCAAGAAATTTATATCTCTAAGAGGAGGATGTGTCCATGCAACTACTGCTTTTTTAAGGTAATTTCATAAGTTAACTAGCTTATATCAGATTATGCTGGCTCTCTTCTCTTTTAAGGAATTCATCAATGAGGTTTGTTTGATGTAGATGAACATTATCATCCAAAAATAAAAAGTCATATAGATCCATATGTACCTCAAAAATCTTACATAAGGTTCTAAAACCTCATCTTGATCATCATTGAACAATATTCCTTCATATACAATGACACTTACATTACCAAAATGGTCATTCTCCATAATGTTTAAAAGAAGATTTCATGTTCCTGACTCCCTTCAGATGTACATTTAGAATCAGATGTTGAACTAAATCACACATCAGTAAAGAGAACATAGGACCATTGGTATTTAATCCAGTTTTGATGCTCTTTGCACCAATTAAAGTGATCCTTCTTGTGTGTGTGTGTGTGTGAAGACATTGGAACAGAATGCAATAGTTACAGTGATGGCTGCAAGCTCTGAACTTAAAACTGCTAAGTAGTCGACTTTCTGTTATGATGGGATTGCTAGAGACCAATCTTGAGAAGCAGTTATTATTCATTTACAATCTTGTCCAGGCCTCCTTTACAACAGTTCCAGAGTTCTGAAATTATTTCCATAGTGTAGAGACTATCTTGAAATATTCACACATCTCATTGCTTCCATGATTGTCCACCCTGCTTCTAAATGGCTGACAATTAGCCACTTCATAGATTCTTCTAAAAGATACTTTGGAGCCATAGCAAACTGTTTTGAGTTGTTATACACTGAAATCAAATGCTGTATTATAGAAAATCAGTCAGATATTCATTTTGTACAAAGCACATGATTCACTGTCAGCTGATGTAATGTGCCTTGATAATGTACTGATTTGCCTTGATATGCATATCAGAAATTGTTTAATCACTTTTGATTGGATAATTCTAATTAAGCTTGTCTTTCACACATTCCCTTTAAAAATGGATTATGTCAAAGATATTTCAGAGACTATTATTATTTTTGGGTATGTAAAAAGAAATTTGGATAGGATTATATGTATATATTATCTGTGCTTACCATTCAACACAGTTAAGAAGTAATATGTTTTTCTTTTGAATATAAGGTGTAAATCTCAGAAAATGGATTTCATGTTTCTTCAGTTATAAAATTCTGCTACAGACTGTTTCTGCCAAATCATGCCATGCTAGATTTCATCAAAATACTTAAATTATTAAGAAACAGTTCCACGTTTAAGACCATCTGGCAGGTAGCTAGTTGTACAATGTGTAGTAGTCTTTCATGAAAAAATGTCATATAATTTTACTGTGATACTGTTGGTAAAATTGCAAATTGCTGTAAGTATATATTTATCTTAAATTAAGGTATCTAAAATTTTATATATGGTTAAGATTTGTGTATGAAATTCAATTGCATGTGATATACAAATATTTTAAATTGTAAAAAAATATTTATTTTCTAAGCAGTAAAATATGATATTGCATATTCTTCTCTCTTTTTTTAAACCTAAAATGATTGCATATTTTCTACATTGTGGTATATTTTGATGCTGAAAGATTTAGTAATTCATGTTCTATAGGTTGTAATGCAATGCAGGGTAAACAGCTTTTTAAGCAATATATAGAAATTATTTAAATATTTTATGATTTTTTATTATTGTACATTATTTTATGTACTTTTATACAGTAAAAAATTAATTTCTTCTTTTAAATTTTTAGACTGATATCTTATCAACTGTGATATGAAGAAACATCAACTGTAAAACAATGAACAGTGAAATATCATCTAGTCTACATAGATTAGAAGGAATTACTAATCAAAAAGGTGGACTTATTATAAAGAAGAAAACAAGTGATGACAATTTATTCAAAATTCCTGCTCCAAAAAAGTCTTTACTAGGTTTAGATGTGCTTGCTGAGCAGCGAAGGAAAGAGAAAATTCTTGATGAAAAAGAAAAATCTGAACAAAAGTCATCTGTCAGACAAAATGATGATTATGATATTGAAAATAGAGAAGAATGCAAAAGAAGAAAATATAGATCATCAAAGGACGAAACTCCAACATATACAGGTGGAGTAAATGAGGAGTATTTAAAGAGAGTGCATGGTCGACAAAAACGGGAAAAAGAGCGTGGTTTATATGTATCATCAAAACATAAACGTCATAAAGATGATAAGGAATATGAGAACGGTAGAGAACGCAATCGCAGACGACGTAGTCGTAGTCATGAATCAGAGAGATCTTACAGATCTGATTCTCATAGTTCTTCAAGAAGGTCTGAAGCTACTTACAGAGATGAACCTCCTTCTCCCAGAATACATCCAAGAGATTCACCATCACGATCTGGATGGGATGAAGATGATATAACACCAAGTTATAAATCAACTTGGGATCAGCCTTCCCCCAGACGCTCTCCTGACAGGCGAAGTGAGAGGAGCCAGTATAGTAAAAGCCATAGAACATCAGAATCTCCGGATCCAACTCCTGCATATAGATATAATGACTGGGTTCGAGATCGAAAGCGATCTGGGGCAACACCTCAGGTTTCCAATGTGAAAGATGAGAAAATACCTTGGTCGTCTGAAGAAGAAAAGGAAGAATGGGAAGAAGAAATTAAAAGACTTGATAGAGAATGGTATTCCATAGATGAAGGGTATGATGACAATCATAATCCATTTGCAGGCATGTCTGCTGAATATACTAAGAAGAAGGAGGAAGCTCTGGAACAAAAAAAGAAGAAACGTATGTCTGCTCAACAAAGGCAAATACATAAGGACAATGAAAAATGGGAAACAAATAGAATGTTGACCAGTGGTGTTGTTCAGAAGTTAGAATATGATGAAGATTTTGAAGAAGATAATGAAGCCCGTGTACATCTTCTTGTGCAGAACGTAGTGCCTCCGTTCTTAGATGGCAGAATTGTATTTACTAAGCAACCAGAGCCTATAGTTCCAGTTAAAGATCCAACATCAGATATGGCCATGATTGCTCGCAAAGGAAGTCTGGCTGTACGGACATTTCGAGAACAGAAAGAAAGAAGGAAAGCCCAAAAGAAAGAATGGGAACTAGCAGGAACTAGATTAGGTGACATCATGGGTATTAAAAAAGTGGATGAGAAAGAAGAAAAAAATGTTGAAGATGCTACTGATTACAAAGAAGAGCATAAATTTGCTGAACATATGAAAAAAACAACTGAAGCTAGTAGTGATTTTTCTAGGAAAAAGTCTATAATTCAACAGAGACAGTACTTGCCAGTCTTTGCAGTCAGACAAGAATTGTTAAATGTTATTAGAGATAACAGTGTTATCATTATTGTTGGAGAAACTGGATCAGGTAAAACAACACAATTAACTCAATATTTGCATGAAGATGGATATAGTAAATATGGAATGATAGGATGTACACAACCGAGGAGAGTAGCAGCTATGTCCGTTGCAAAACGTGTTTCCGATGAAATGAATGTACAACTGGGAGAAGAAGTTGGATATGCAATTCGATTTGAAGATTGTACCAGTGAGAAGACTATCATTAAATATATGACAGATGGTATTCTTTTAAGGGAATCTTTAAGGGAGTCGGATTTAGATAATTATAGTGCCATTATCATGGATGAAGCTCATGAGCGTTCACTCAGCACAGATGTATTGTTTGGTTTACTGAGAGAGGTAGTAGCACGGAGACAAGATCTGAAATTAATTGTAACATCTGCAACAATGGATGCTTCTAAATTTGCCAACTTTTTTGGCAATGTTCCATCATTTGTAATACCAGGAAGAACTTTTCCTGTTGAGTTATTCTTTAGTAAAAATCCAATCGAAGATTATGTAGATTCAGCTGTAAAGCAAGTGTTGCAGATTCATTTACAGCAAACAATTGGCGATATTCTGGTTTTCATGCCTGGACAAGAGGATATTGAGGTAACTTGTGAACTTATTGCTGAAAGGCTGGGTGAAATTGAAAATGCACCACAACTTGCAATACTGCCTATTTATTCTCAGCTACCCAGTGATTTGCAAGCAAAAATTTTCCAAAAAGCACCAGATGGTGTTCGAAAATGTGTAGTGGCAACAAATATTGCTGAAACATCATTGACTGTTGATGGTATAATGTTTGTTGTTGATAGTGGATATTGTAAGCTTAAAGTATACAATCCAAGAATTGGTATGGATGCTTTGCAGATATACCCTATTAGTCAAGCTAATGCAAATCAGAGATCAGGAAGGGCTGGTAGAACTGGGCCTGGTCATTGTTTTCGCTTGTATACAGAAAGTCAGTACAAAAATGAGATGTTAATGACAACTGTGCCAGAAATACAGAGAACGAACTTAGCCAATGTGGTGCTGCTTTTAAAATCTTTGGGTGTTCAGAATTTATTACAATTTCATTTCATGGATCCTCCTCCCCAAGACAATATGCTAAATTCTATGTATCAGCTATGGATACTTGGAGCATTAGACAATATAGGAAATTTGACTTCATTAGGTCGAAGCATGATTGAATTTCCTCTTGATCCTCCTTTGTCTAAAATGTTGATAGTATCCTGTGATATGAAATGTAGTTCTGAAATTCTAATTATTGTTTCAATGTTATCTGTGCCTGCCATATTTTATCGACCTAAAGGACGAGAAGAAGAAAGTGATCTAGCCCGTGAAAAATTTCAGGTGCCTGAGAGTGATCATCTTACGTTTTTAAATGTTTATTTGCAATGGAAGCAACATAATTTTTCGTCTTCATGGTGTAATGAACATTTTATTCATGTAAAAGCGATGAGGAAAGTTCGTGAAGTGCGACAACAGTTAAAAGAAATAATGGTGCAACAAAAACTTCCTGTTGTGTCATGTGGAACAGAATGGGATGTAGTCCGTAAATGTATCTGTTCTGCATATTTTCATCAGGCAGCAAAGCTTAAAGGTATTGGAGAGTATGTTAATTGTCGAACAGGAATGCCATGTCATTTGCATCCAACCAGTGCACTTTTCGGCATGGGTTACACACCTGATTACATTGTGTATCATGAACTTGTAATGACAAGTAAAGAATATATGCAATGTGTAACTGCTGTGGATGGTCATTGGCTTGCAGAGTTAGGACCAATGTTTTACAGTATTAAAGAGTCAGCTCACTCTCGTATGGAAAATCGAAAACTAGCAAAGATGAGCCAAAACCAGATGGAAGAAGAAATGGCTTCTGCTGAGAAAGAACTTCAATTAAAGAAAAAGCGTGAAGAAGAAATTACATCATCATCTCGTAAGAAACTCCAAATTTTTACACCTGGAAGAACTGATCCAAGTACACCTAGACGAAAGCCTGATAGATTTGGTCTGTAGAATATTCCATATATCTACTGTTTGAGAAACTGTAAAAAAAGTATACGGTCAAGTCGTTAATCCGGACTCGTCAGGACTTCTGCGATTCCGGATTATTGATTTTTCCGGATTATAGATCATCAATTTAAATCTGGTAAGATGGCATGCAGAAATTATAAAATTAAAAATATGAAACCGTAATTTATGAAATAAAGAACAATTATGATCTAAAGGGTATCAAAATTTACAAAAAAAAAAAAAAAAAAAAAAAAAGCTTAATATTTATTTGTTTTCTTTATTAAACATTTCTTTCAATGTAAGTTGTTTAAGTTGCTTCGTTTTTTATGTGATAATACATTCTCTTTAATTCTATAAACAGACATAATTTCTTGTTCAGTTACAAAGTTCCGCTGTTCAAGTCCTATAATTGCTGTGTCGAGAATACCGACTAATTTGTCAATCGATATTTTTTCATTTTCAATAACCTCTGTTACTTTCTTTGCTATCAGAAGGGAATTATAATGACGAGGAATTTGATTTAAATCATATCAAACACAGAGTACATCGAGATGAAATACTACATTTAGTAAGGAATGATAAGCCAAATAAAATAAAAACATCTGCCCTGAAGATAAGGATAGTGCTGACAGATCAACTTCCAATTCATTGCATGCTGCCGGCATTAAAGATAAACAAAGTTTAGATAAACAAACGTTAAAGTTTAGATAAACAAAGGGTATGCTTTTATCCATTTTTTGCAGCAATTCCACTTTTTGTTTAATAGACTTCAAAACGTACTTTCGCTTTGTAGATCCTTTAAATATTAGTAAATATATATCAGAAAATCTATTTGACATAATCGAAAGTTCAAGCTTACTTTTATAAAATTGCTGTAACAGTCTGCAAAAAATAATAAGCCGAATCCAATTCGAAGATTAAGGAACAACAGAATCTGCAACATTAACTGAATTAAATAATTTTAGCTTAGCTTATACTGTCCGTTATACATTATACGCGCTTTCGTAAACGTATTTTTGCGCACGCGCATACGTATATTCGCAGCTGTAAAGGACGCATGCGCAGAAAGTTTGTATTGAGGTCCAGATTATGGGTGTCCGAATTAACGACTTTTGACTGTATTACATTAATTTTACATATTTTGAAATGTGGAAACAAACATTTGTAAACATAATATTTGTTTTTAAAAATGTAAATGTCTTTTGTTTTATAAATGTATAAGTGCTTTTTTATGAAAAAACAGCAAATTTTTATACTTCATTTATTAATTATTTAAAATCACTCCATTGTAAAAGAATGTTTAGAAAAATGCTGAGAAATATATTTTAGTTGCAATTTTCTCAATTTTAGTATGTGTCCATGAAATACTTCCTATTATGAGAGTCAACCATAACAGACTTGCATATCAGAAACAAATATGTTAATTTAAATTATCTTTATTTTAGTATTTATATCCTTTTCTTTTTTTGGGGGGGGGATTCTTTGAAGGTTGGGACATTCTGAAAATTTTCTTTCATATTTGTTCTTTTGCTCATATTAATGTCCAGTGAAAAAATCTAAATGGAAAGTACTGAACATTTAAATTTTGTCTTGTTCATCTTGCTCATAAAAAATTTCATATTCAGCTAATGTGAAACTAAAACTCGGGCATTATATGCATAGAACCTGATGTGTTCATAATACACCTGTCATAATGTCATGATGTGTGGAGTTCAGTTTTTCTTAAGAGTAGAACAATTAAATTTCATTTAAAAAGTATTTTACAATACACACGTTGCTCATCTCTTAAAATTTATAATTGACTTCTCAATTAGATCACGAACCAGCATTTTCATTTTCAGAAGCCTTCAAAATATGATGTTTACTATCTTGCTGCGAAACATCTACTCATTTTTTTATTTTCTCTGTTGTCAAACTGCATACTTAAACTTGTCAAGAGCAGCAGAGTTGCACATTGCATAATAGCACCTTGTGTTAGATATGAATATATATTTTAAATTATTCATCGATATTAGTTTTTTTATGCAGATAACTTGAATTTATCCACCTTAATATATTTTCGCTAATTAAATACATTGCCACTTCTAAAACTTAAAAAAATCTCAAATATTTTTCTTTATAATTTTATATTTCAATGTATGAAGTGCTAAATTCAAATCAAAGTTCATTTTAGTATTCAGATTTCAAATGTAATTCTTTCAATGATCCCTATCTTGAACTAGAAGAAATTAAGTTTATAATCTCATTGGTTTCAACTATGGGTAATGTAATACATGTTTCTGACAGAATTCTCTCATTTGCAGTGCTAAAGCTTTTTATATTTTTTATTATTTATTTTGGCAGTTGTATTAGTAAATAGGAGTCAGTTTCTCTTGCTTATGCAAAATGTTAATTGTTGACCATATTTTATGATGAAAATGATTTTAAGTACTCATAATCTCTTCATGTCATACAATATAACTTTATAGACAAGCTAATTATGTGTAATAATATTCATAGCAGTATGCCCAACTTTTGTTAAATGATTTTGCTTTGAATAATTAATTTAAGCATATTATGATTTCTCTAGCAGGTTTGACAGTTTTAATATAATCTTTATATTTGCTAAACTTATTTAAAATTATTGTTTCTTTTTTAATTTTTTTTTATAAAGTTTCAATGCATATTTATTTATTTTTATATGAACTTTCTCTCTCTCTCTCTCTATTTATATAATAGATCATATGAATGTGTTTATTTATACTTAAATTTCCTCTTTTTAAATTCACATCTGTAGTTCATTTAAATTTTGTGTTTTTGTCTATATCCATAATAATATTTTTAAATTTAATTCTTTTTCATCAGACCCCCAAGACTAGTGAGAAGTGCCTTAAAATTTTAGTATTATTTGAAGCTTAGTATTCATCTGTGTGAGAATACTACTCAAAATCTGCATTACAGAATTTTTCAAAAATGTACTCTTCACACACAACCACAATTAAATCAATATCATTTCTTTTTCTTTCTTTTTTTATGTAACTGCCCTCCAATATTGTTTGGCACAAATATATTGAATATATTTTGTAAGTTAACACTTTACCGGCCGATCGGCTTTTTATCGCCAATGTCTACTGATCGATAGCCTATTAATCAGCTTTTTATCACCAACGCCTACCGAACGATAGCCTATTAATCACTTTTTTCTCGGGGCTTCCGAAAAATAGCCTATCAATCGGTAGCCGTGGCGATAAACAATTGCCATATGCTATATCATTTACATTTTGTTATTAGTATCGTGGTACATTGCTCACTTGCATTAAGAGAGTTGTTCGTAAACTCCCACATTTTCACACCGGTTATAAAAATTTTACCGTTCACGATGAGTGAAAAAAATGGTACTGAAGAGTTTTATTTAGACGATTTTTCAGATTGTCCTGACAGTTATTCAGGATAAGGAGAATCTGCGGCTGAGCGGCCAGTCAGTCGTGCGTATGCTGTTGAATCGCTAGCGGTCGGTAAAGTGTTAACTGAGTGAAATCTAAGACTATAAATCATGTACAGAAAATGCATTGGCAAAATAATTTAACTGCGTATCTTTTTTTTTTTTTTTTTTTTTTTTTGTTGAAAAGTAATTACAGGAATTCTTATTTTTGAAAGTTGGGAATAAAAGTAACTCAATATGGGCAATAAATAAATTTATTCATTTAAAATTTTTGAATTGCATATACACTGCAGGATAACATAATAGTAATAAAATTCTAATGATAGATTGCAAAACGTGTAGAATTTCTTAAAATTATAAGTAGGGTATTTCAATGATATATTATTGTTTTAAGCAGTGGGTCTGGGATTGCCAAACATTTTGAATTTGTATACTTGTATATATATATATACTGCTAGTAATTACATACATATTTATTATTATTACAGTGTTTTTGTACAAAATTTCTTAATTTCATAAATATTTATTTTTAAATAAAAATGTAGGTAAAATTTTAGTATACGATACAGCCTTCATGCAATTTTGAAAATTGTTGCCAACACCAAAATGACTCGTTTACTTCTTATCATAAATATCTCATTTACTGGTCATAATAAATCACCAAATCCTGTTTGTACCATATACTAGGATTAAGCAAAAATATAAATATTTTAAAATTAATAAAATATAAAAGCAATTTTTATCTGCTGCACATTCCAACAAACTGGTTTTACAGATGCTGTCAGAATAATAGTTATAATTTTAAATGTGATATGTAACCTATGTTCCATTAATATTGGAATTATAGTGTCTATCACATGAAGCTATAGTAGAAGACATAACACACAAACCATCTACTACTTATTTTTATAGCAAGTTGTATTTTGATAATTAAAAAAAAATTAAATAAAAAATTTGGCAGTAGTTCTCCATTAAGGCATGTTTACTTACTTACAGGAGTAATCATCAAACATACATAGAAGGCCCAAAGGCATGTTAGCCCAGAAGGGCTGTTAGTCTCGCAAGGGAATTTTGCATCAAATCACTATAAACCGCTGTGTCACTTTTCAAATTGTTGCCACCAAATATTTTCGTCCTGTATTATGTTTAAAGAAATTAAGAAATGAAGAATCTGCATGAATGTATATATATGTTACTCGCATAGTGAAAAAATAACGATATCTAAAGCCATCAAAATTTGAATAACGTAGTCTTCCACCCAAATGTGGGCACCTGGAAGCCCGAATCTAAAATTTCGAATATGTTTTATTATCTATTTCATATTTTTTAAACGTTAATGAATTTTTGATTAAAAAAACTCAACAATTTCAAAGCAAGCAATGGCAAAACACTATACGGGGGGGGGGGGCATTTTATCTCCAGCGCGCAAGACTCTATCGAAAATTCTAAAGATATGCTATTTTAAAATATTTTAAACCCAAATGCTCTCGAAACGTGTATATATGTGTAAATGGAAAGAAAGAAAGGGAAAAAAAAAAAAAAAAAAAAGCCCCTTTAAGCGTAAATGAAATCTGAAAGCTTTTAAATTTTTTAACATTTTGTGTGTTTACTTTTTTATATATTTATATTTAGAATGTCTCTATGAGCTCTAGAAATATTAAATTTATTAAAAATTCATTGTATGGTTAGGCTTGTATTAAAATTATATTATTTTCAAGAGTTGTGTTTTACTGTTTTTTAAT